ATCGCCTCGCGAAACTTTCGCGTCCGCACGTTGCACTCTCCCCCCGGAGTTTTCTAATGCGCGAGTTCGCAGATTTCCCCGGAGCCGCCGTCGCCTCCCCCCCCCTCCCATCCCCCCCGTTTCCCCGTTTCCCGTTCCACCCTCCGCCCCTTTCGCCCGACGGCACTCGCGGAATTAACAAGTTTCGCGAGGCAGTTTTCACGAGGCAGCTTTCGCGAGGCAGTTCTTGCGCGAGGCGGGGAAATGAGTAAAATCGCGACGTCTCGTGGTTATCGGCGCGATAAAACTCGCGCGTCGATCCATCGATGTTCCTCGGTGGATATTTCTCACGAGTAACGGACCCTACTTGTCGCACAAGACGAATGCAATTCGTTCGTTCCCGCGGCGAGTACTGCGCGTACTGGGAATATTGAAATTAAAGCGGGACACGAGAACGGGATACTCTTTTATTTTCTTTTATTTTCCGATAAGGGCAAGCTTCCTCGCGGAAAACATAGTAGTTACGTCGCGATTCGACTCTCTCTCTCTCTCTCTCTCTCTCTCTCTCTCTCTCTCTCTCTCTCTCTCTCTCTCTCTCTCTCTCTCTCTCTCTCTCTCTCTCTCTCTCTCTTTCGATGCTCAGTGTAATCGAATAGCAACGAATTAAGAAAACTTACAAAATATAATTCCACCAACTTAAATAAAAATCGTATTATTAAATTATCGCGAGCGCTAAATGTAAGTAAGAGTACATTTAACATTTGTCTCTCTCAATATTTAGAGGTAATTCGGAAATGAGAGGATTGATACTGGAACGGCTGAATATTCTACGTCTATATGGTGAACATCCTCTCTCTCTCTCTCTCTAGAAATATATATCGAGCACAGAATTTCACTGCAGAGAGCTTTAAAATTGCAGATAAAAATAAAACTTGACCGATTAATAGTAGTAGTAGTGCACAGGAAACACCGAGAATTTGTAGTAAAGCAAGTGAGCAAGCGCGATTCGAGTCTATATTTTCAGAGTGGTTGGATTCTCGATCGTCAAATAATTCCCTCGACAGCGAGATAAAACCACCATCTCGACTTTTACTGATAGTGAGAGAGAGAGAGAGAGAGAGAGAGAGAGAGAGAGAGAGAGAGAGAGAGAGAGAGAGAGAGAGAGAGGGAGAGAGAGAGAGAGAGAGAGAGAGAGAGAGAGAGAAACGTGTCAGATAAAAACTGACGATACAACAGATTCAGACGTTCCAGTGTTAACGCGTTTCCCGCGTAGTCGAAGGTGAAGCCGATGGCGAAGGATGGCGATCAAGGCGCATTGAAATTTCAAATATATCCGCAATCGTTTTCGTTTGACAAGCGAATTCGGAGAGGAAACAGAAGAAAGGAATAATCGAGGACGACTAACGTACAGCCGTGCATCAATTCAATTTGATCGGTTTTCTTATTTACGTGCCTGTACGTCGTGTCTGTGTATGTGATTATTATTACTCCGAAGATTGTTTCGCGAACATCGCGTACGGCTAGCGTGTGCTACCTTTCAATCGCGCGAATCACCGACGGCGAATTCGACAGCACGAACGACGGCTCTCGCCCTCGCGAGCGTCCGAGGAGATCTAAATTGATGTACGTATGCAGAATCATATACAGATACATGACGCTTACAAGCGCCGGTCCATCCATGCATACGCACATAGTGATATGTGTATATAGTAGGTAGGTTAATAAATTAATTAATTGTATTTTGTATCGCAGAAACCGGGTGTAGAAGCGGCAGATGCCGAAGGGAAAAGTAATGTAAACTCGTCGCACTTATTTGAACTCACGC